TAGGAAAAGATTTGTGTTAACTTGGAACTTTATTTTTTTGGCCAATAATTTTTTTCTTATGCTTTAATTCAGACAGTTCCTTTGTAGGAAGGTAATGGCAAAGGTCTGCTGTGTGTGATCAGATTAGATATGTAAATGAGACGGTAGTGTTTACTGCCGGTTTAGCATTTATTTGCAACAAAGCACAAGAATAGATTTCAGCACTTGTTAGGACACAAATTTTCCAGAGTACCAAAATTTGAAATATTTAGATGGTTTTCACCCACAGTTGCCATGCTAATTTAAATAACCAAGCCTTGCTTTCTTAATTACATGTTCCTGTAATAGAAATACAACACACAAGTCGGACTGAAAGGAACACAGCTTTCTGGCGGCCAAAAGCAAAGACTCGCTATTGCAAGGGCTCTTCTCCGAAAACCAAAAATTTTATTGTTGGATGAGGCCACTTCAGCCCTTGATAATGAGAGTGAAAAGGTAACATCCTCTTCTTTTGTCTCAGAATGTAATACCAAATATGAGAGTGGAGTACCATTGAAGAAAGGTCAGTTTACAGAAAGAAAGATCTGGAGAGAACTGTAGTCATAGGGTCACCAGTTCTCATTAAGGTTTTGGCCTTTTAAAAAGAGTAGAGGCTGGTGGGGAGGTGGGACAGTCGGGACGCAGGGCATCTCATGTTCTCTGTTGAATTTTTCTCATTATCAAAAGGGGCCAAGCACTTGAAATGTTTTTTCGCTCAAGGAAAAAGCCCAGGAAAAATAACTTTCCTATTTTATCATTATTCCAATGATGCCAAACAAATTAATAAGGCAATTTCCATGTGTAACAGAGTGAGCTACACTGCAGGGCCAGACCCTGTTAATCACTCCACCTTCTACAGACTATTCGCTCAATTTGAGAAGGAAGCAGACATGTGACAGTAGACCTACACTAACGCCTTCAGATGTTTAACTTGGCTATGTCCTTGTCCCCTAGTAGTTTCTTACACCAAGTAGGTACTTATTTGTTAAATGAACATTGGTTAAATGATAATGTTCAATCCTCACAACTTGATGAATTAGGTTATTTTATTATTGTGCTCATTTTACAGATTAGCACGCTAAGGCTTAGAAACGTTAATTCCCTAAATTCTAATAGCTGGTGTCTGACCTAAGAGCTCATGTGGTTAACCCCCAGTTGATTGCTGTTTGTAGACGATTATCATTCTTGATTTCCAAGGAGAGAACGTGTTATGAAAGGAAAAAAAAAATTTATTTTTTTTTTTAATTTTGTTTTTTGTGGAATGAGACAGCTGGGCTGTATAATCCTGGATTCATCAGTTATGGGTAGTATGACCTTGGTCAAGTAACCTGTACTTTTCAAATCTCAGTTTACTCATTAGAAAAATGAAAATACCCCCTACGAGGTTATTGCAAATATTTAATGAGATAGCCATCACTGGACCATTTTATATATTCAATAAATAATGGTTTTCACCTTCCAGTCTTATTTCCTACAATTATAACCTACAATTACAACCTCATTGTAGCTGAGATGCTGTTTCAGTCAGGAAAGTTTTACAGCTAAATTCTACAAAAAATTTCAAAAAGTACTGTGAGGAGGAATGAAACAAGTCAATTAGATCATTCTACTTGGGCGTGGACTACTACTTTCTGGCTTTGAGTTTGGAACCACTTACTTCCATACAAATAACTATTTCATTTTTATTCATTGCCACAAAGCTTTTCCATAATTATGTTTTTTAGATTTCTATTGGGTAGGGTGAATGTATCACAAAGTAGGGCAACTTCCTTGGGAATGAGCAAATACACAAAGAATGTTATTAGATTACCTTGATTTGATGTAGGCAAGTTTGTTAGCCACTAACCTGAGCTAGTGATCACAGGTCCTTCTCTCTTCCAGGTGGTTCAGCATGCCCTTAACAAGGCCAGGAAGGGGAGGACATGCCTAGTGGTCGCCCACAGACTCTCCACAGTACAGAACGCAGATTTGATAGTGGTTCTGCACAATGGGAAAATAAAGGAATGGGGAACTCATCAAGAGCTCCTGAGGCATGGAAACATATATTTTAAGTTAGTAAATGCTCAGTCAGTGCAGTGATGCTATTAGCACATATTTTGATCTTTGTGTAATGCAAAGAAAAAGCACTTACTAATTACTTGGCATGCTTTGATCTCTTTTATTGCATGATCAATATCTAGAATCATGCTATGCAAGTACAGACATGTTCTGCTTACACACCATCTTCCCTTCAGATTTTTAAAAGGAAACAAAAATTTTCTAAAACTCATGTTAGATAACGCCTCTATCCCTCACTTTATAAAAAATATTCTAGCGCATTTTTTTATAAAGCAGGTTTCTGAAAAGTGAATCTCTTTTCCCATCAACTTTTGCTATAAAACTGGGAATATGTTCCCAGAGGGAAACATTATCCAGTTAACTAAGTTGAAAGATTTTTAGCAAAGAGCGAGTAAGATGTAGTTGGGCATTGCAGGAAGAATGATTTTAATTTGGAGCTTCCAGCGTTTTGTAGCACATATTAGAGTATTCCAATCCTTTTCTTCAAACCTTAGGAATTTTTCTCATAACTTCCTCAGTGTTTCTCTCTCAAAGAATATCTACTGTTTCCCCAAATTACATTATATGCCTTTGTTGGGGATATATGGAGGCTTACAGTGTAAAATTTCTGACGAGTTAGGTAGTTGCCTGTCACTTCACCAGGCAGCAAAATGCTTCACATGATGCATCTGGAAAATTCCATTATCCTGAGCTTTGGGTTTCGCAGGTTCAATCATAGGCCTTCAGTGTATGAACACTTACTTAAGATAAGAGCTAGTTTTATTATGGCTGAAAAATTAAAAATGNGAAATACAGATATAAAATCTAAACAAAAGTGACATAAGCCTATAGTATATGCAGTCAGGAGCTCTAAAACAGGAAGGAATACGAGTTTAAAATTAAAATGGTTGTACAGTTTTCAGAAAAGACTTAGCTAATGTGCTGTTAGGTGTTACAACCTTTCTGAACACGCCAACTTCCTTTCACAGGACACATGTGAAGGGAATATCGAGTTTCGAGAAGTCTCTTTCTTCTATCCATGTCGCCCAGATGTTCTCATCCTTCGCGGCTTATCCCTCAGTCTTGAGAAAGGGAAGACTGTGGCATTTGTTGGGAGCAGTGGCTGTGGCAAGAGCACGTCTGTCCAGCTTCTGCAGAGATTTTACGACCCCATGAAAGGACAACTGGTAAGCCTGCCTTTAAATACAGCTTATCTGGGGGTTAGTGGGGCTGTTCTTAAACATTCTCTTGGGGTTAAGCATCCTCATCGGTTTGGGTAGGGCAGACAGTACAGTACTTAAGGAAAACAAAAAACTCTATCCCTTAAAACTAGGAGAACAAGCAGACCAATAACAGCAGTGCTGGATACGGCTTTGAGGCTAAGTACAAAGACCCAAAGATTCTTCAGCCTTTATGGAGGTAGAAATTGTGATTTTATAATCCATGGAATCCTTTTAAAATACAGGTGTTGGAGGACCACGCTAATATCCATATGTGGGCTCTTTCTTTATTCTGTTCTGCTTTAAGACAGAAATATCCATTTCTTCTGCCTCCCTGGTTCAGGCTTTCTGCTACTGCCATTGGCCATCTATCTTCACCTGCCCCTCCTCAATTCTCAAAACCTGACGCATGATTAGGACTTATGAGTCAGCTCCATTAAGTCCTGCATTCTAATCTCCAAAATATGCACCCTCTCCCTTCTTTGAACTCCAAAGACTATTTTTCTCACATGGCACTTTTCTTACTCTATCCTCAGGCTTTCAGTTACCCTCTCCACCCCAACCACCACATCACACACACATCATACACATACACAAACACAACGTCCTTTTCTTCCTTCTCCTCCCCACAAAAAAAAAAAACTATATTCCCCACAAAAATAAGTCCTTATTCTCCTGCAATTTACAGTCTTCTCCCCATCACAGATTCTCAGTGACTATTTGCAAAATGTAATAGTCCAAAATGTTTCCCTTATTGCCAATGACAAGAGTCAACAATGGATACCAAAATTAGGTAATACTCGTCTGTTTGCACACAGCATCTGACACTCCCTCCATTAAACCCCAGTGGTTTCCACTGCAGTTAGAGTAAGTCCTCGTCCATACCATTATCAAGGTCTTTCAGGACCTGGCACCTGCCTCGCTCCCCAAACTCCTCTCCTGTCACCACCCCCACCTCACTGTGCACTGTGTGTCAGTCTCACTGGCTTCTGTAGGTTCTTTCAACACACATTTGGGCCTTGGCTCTTGCTCTTACCCTGGTTAGAATGCTCTTACTCCAACTTCTTTGCTGGCTCCTTCTCATCATTCATGTCAGTCTAAATGCTACTTCCCTAGGTAGGGCTTCTTACATACACCACAGAAAATAATGCATCCACCCACCCCCTTCCCACAGTCACTCTCTATCCCACTGCCCTGTCCTTAAGACACTTACTCTGAGTTCAATAGCGTTGAGTTCTTAGCTAGTAGTGTGTTTACTGCCTGCCTCTCTCCTCCAGAACATAAGCTGCAGGAGGGAAAAAGCTTTGTCTTCTTGTTGTACCACTATTTCCCCAGGGCCTGAAGAGCCCCCTCACACAGTAGGTTGACAGTTGACTATATGTCCATGTAGATAAACATGGCTATGTGAAAACTGACATGTTTCTACATGTAGACTACTATATCAGTCTCTTTCTGGGCTTTAGTAAAGGCGGGGTCCTGTTCCCATGGAGGTTGGTCATTTTCCATCTGACTTCAGTGCAGAGCAGCCAGCTTTACTCTAGCCTCCAGGCAGGTCTCTAGAATAGGTGGCTGGCCATACCTAGAAACACCAAGTAAGTTTAGGAGTGGGCATTTTAGTCAGTTACACGTCCGCTTCTATATAACATATGATTTATGAACCTCCCTTGGGTAACATTATACAACTAAATAGCTTGAATGCCTAACCTTCTTGTTATGATTTGTATATGTTGGAATACAGTGAACTGAAATTTGATACAGTGTTGGATCTTCACGTACCATTCTCCATTCTGTTTTTGGCAGCTGTTTGATGGTGTGGATGCAAAGGAGTTGAACGTACAATGGCTCCGTTCCCAAATAGCAATCGTTTCTCAAGAGCCTGTGCTCTTCAACTGTAGCATTGCTGAGAACATCGCCTATGGTGATAACAGCCGTGTTGTGCCATTAGATGAGATAAAAGAAGTAGCAAATGCAGCAAATATCCACTCCTTTATTGAAGGTCTCCCTGAGGTAAGAAAATATCTGGAATCTTGAACTACAAAGCTGCCAAGTCCTCTCTGGTTTTGGTTTAAGATTGGATTCTCTAATTTTGATGGGAACTTACAGTGTGTGGAAATGAATGACATAGTTTTATCTGATTATCCTGCCCTATGATTCTGAATTTAATAAAATGCATTTTAGGGGCCCAGCCCCCTGGCAGTCACAGAGGAACTAGCTGAAGTCTGTTTTCTTTGTGGAACATTCACTTCAGAAAAGACACTTTTACTAGGCTTTAGTAATTCAGACATCCAGTTTTATATAAAGCAAGCAACTGTGCATTTTAAATTGAGAAATGAACTTTGAATGAAGTAGACACATTTTTCATAAGGTTATGTCGCAGGCTCTCTCAGTACCCACTCTGCTGAATGGCACCTCCTGAAGGCAGTCAGATGTGGAGGGAAAAGCAAATCACTCAGTCTTCTCCATGGCACTAAGACAAAATGAACAGCATAGCATCACACGCTGCATCTCCTCTGTAATGCTGCTACAGGATCTACCTTTAGAAGGTTGGACACTTGGACTTGCTTTCCAGTGGAACTGATCCATCCACACATTCCTGTCTGG